CTGAACATAATCAACACAATTGCTGTAATGTTTGTGGTTAATACGTATCATCAAGCTGCCCCTCGGGTCTGTTTTTGTGGCTTGTGTTTTCTTTCCTTTTTTAAAATATATGTTTTATTGATTATGCTATTGCAGTTGTCCCATTTCTGCCCCTTCATTCCCCTCCACCCTGCACACCCTCTCCCACCCACATTCCCCCCCTTTAGTTCACATCCATGTGTCATAAGTTCTTTAGCTTCTACATTTCACATACTATACTTGCCCTCCCCTGTCTATTTTCTACCTACCATCTATGCTACTTATTCTCTGTATCTTTTCCCCCTCTCTCCTCCTCCCCCTCCCCTGTTGCTAACCCTCCATGTGACCTCCATTTCTGTGGTTCTGTTCCTGTTTGAATTGTTTGCTTGGTTTGCTTTTGTTTTTGTTTTAGGTGTGATTGTTAATAATTGTGAGTTTGCTGTCATTTTACTGTTAATATTTTTTATCTTCTTTTTCTAAAATAAGTCCCTTTAACATTTCATATAATAAGGGCTTGGTGATGATGAGCTCCTTTAACTTGACCTTATCTGAGAAACACTTTATCTGCCCTTCCATTCTAAATGAAAGCTTTGCTGGGTAGAGCAATGTTGGATGTAGCTCCTTGCCTTTCATGACCTGGAATACTTCTTCCCAGCCCCTTCTTGCCTGTGAGGTCTCTTTTGAGAAATCAGCTGACAGTCTGATGGGAACTCCTTTGTAGGTGACTGTCCTCTTATCTCTTGATGCTTCCAGAATTCTCCCCTTCATTTTAATCTTGGCTAATGTAATGATGATGTGCCTTGGTGTGTTCCTCTTCGGGTCCAACTTCTTTGGGACTCTCTGAGCTTCCTGGACTTCCTGGAAGTCTATTTCCTTTGCCAGAATGGGGAAGTCCTCCTTTATTATTTGTTCCAATAAGTTTTCCACTTGTTGCTCTTCCTCTTCCCCTTTTGGTACCCCTATAATTCAGATGTTAGAACGTTTACAAATGTCCTGGAGGTTCCCAAGCCTCTTCTCATTTTTTTGAATTCTTGTTTCTTCATTCTTTTCTGTTTGGCTGTTTCTTTCTTCCTTCCGGTCCACTCCATTGGTTTGAGTCCCAGTTTCCTTCCCATCACTATTGGTTCCCTGTGCATTTTCCTTCATTTCACTTAGTGTAGCCCTCATTTTTTCATCTAATTTGCAACCAAATTCAACCAATTCTGTGAGCATCCTGATCACCAGTGCTTTGAACTGTGCATCTAATAGGTTGGCTGTCTCTTGGTCACTTAGATGTATTGGCTCTGGAACTTTGATCTGTTCTTCCGATTGAGCCTTTTTTTTTTCAGTCTGGTTGTGCCTGTTACATAGTGAGGGGTGGAGCCTTAGGTGTTCACCCAGGCAGGGTAGCCCACCAGCTGTGTTGTGACACTGTCTGTAGGGGAGGGGTCTGAGTGGGAACAGTGGCACTTGCTCCGCTCTCTGCTGGATTTCAGTCACTTCCACCGCTTCCCCCAAGCACATTGGGCCCTTCTGGTGCTGATTCCCTGGTGGGTGGGCTTGTGTACATCCTGGGACCCTGTGGGTCTCTCCAACGAACTCTCCCATGAGGCTGGGGGTCTCTCCCGGCACCTTACCCCCACGGGTGTTTTCAGTTGGTGTTTTGAGGCTTTATTTCCCCACGCTGGGACCCTGGGTTGCGTGGTCTGTCTCCCTCCCCAGTGTCGCCTGGTTTATGTGCGTGCAAATGTGTGACTGTGGTCAGCCATTGGCCTTGCGAGTCTCACTGGGTCTGTCCACTGCCACCTCGTGCTGCTGGGGTCTGCTTGCCGCCGCCTGTGTGCCTGGGACCGCCAACCACCGCTTTTTCCTGCCTCGACGCCTCTCCACCAGCCGCCAACCCGCCCCTCTTACCAGTCCGGATGAATGGTTGTCAGACTTCCGTACAGTTCAGTTTTCTGTCAGATTTGGTTGTTTTTTGTTTCTAAAATTTTGTTGGCCTTAATTTTGCCTGTGCAAGGAGGCGCAGTGTGTCTAACTACGCCTCCATCTTGGCCAGAAGTCTTGTGTTCTCTTTTGGTTTTTGGATGTGTTTCCTCTTGTTCAGCCCATTTATTTTTTTGTTTTATTTTGCGTATTATAAGGAAAATTTTTGGAAACAGTTTGATGGCCTGATTGATGGGTTTCTAAAAAGATTTTAATTATTTATATTTAGATAGAGGGGACCGGAAGGAGAGAGAGAGGTAGAGGAATATCAGTTGGCTGCCTCTCTCACACCCCCAATCAGGGACCTAGCCAGCAGGCCAGGCCTGTGCCCTGACTCAGAATGGAGCCTGTGACCTTTCAGTTTGCGAGATGAAGGCCAATCCACTGAGCCACACCAGTCAGGGCTGGTGTATGTTATTTTTCTACAGGGATAACTTAGATTTGCCTCTAGAAGGCAGCCAGATAGGAAATAATAGATTCTAGAGCACTTTAATCTGAATCAGGGCAGAGATGATTCAAAATTGGGTTTGAGTTTCTGGGAGGGCGGGTGTATTTGTTGCTTTCCATGACCAGCGCGGAGTGGGGGTTCCTGAGTGGGGTGGGCAGGAGACGGAGAGAAGACACAACACAGACGGTTTAAGGAAAAGCGGGGACCGGCTGGGACGTTGTCCTCTGATGGAGAGACAGTGAGCCCTGAACATGGGCTCCGCCTTTGTTTCACAGGGGTTGGTTAGATGCGGCTCGAGGACGTTTCGCGGACTTTGGGAGACGCTGCAGGCACAGATTGTTCCCTTCCCAGGCTAGCTCACCGACACATACGTCCGGGGCGAAAGTTACAGCTGGGTTCAGCTGAAGCTGGCGGTTATCTATCTCCTGGGTCCTGGCTGTTGTTGCTGCTGGCTTGATCCGCCTTGCAGACGCAAGCAGCCAAGTGCGGCTTTGTTCGGCTCTCAACCTTGGCTGTGACGCCAGCCTTCACCGCCCCCCGCAGTTGCTCTGAATTCTCCGTGTGCAGCTGCCTGTGAGCCAGCCGCCAGTCTGCTGGGTCTTGGCTGCATCCCCTCCAGACAGGAGGTCCTGCCCTCTCAGCTCCTCGAGCCGATTGGAAGCTCCGCCCAGGGGGCCAGCGGTCAGCTGCTTGTTACGGAATCAGAAGGTGCCTCCTGGGAACAGCAGGAAAGGGTGCAGGTCTCATCACTTTCAGATCCTGGCCCTTAATTTTTCACTGCTTTATTGGCTCCCTGATGCCCTAGCGGCGCACTTTTATGTTTTGCCCATTTTGTTCTCAGATACCCGCCGTGGGAGTGTTGGGTGGCACGTGTTTACCTGGTCTCCCGTGACCGGAGTTAAAACTCCTGAGGTGACTATTTCTCTCGGGCAGCAAGTGTATGCAGTGGCACACGAGCAGGACCGGTCCCAGACCACCGAGGAAGGGAGAGGCTGTGGCTCTGGGCCCAGGGGGCTCAGCAAAGACGGGTGGTTGATGACCGTGCACGTCCGTGCTGCAGGTGTGTTGGTGGTTACTCCGCCCACCCGTGTACTTGGGATGTCTGTGCACTGTGTGCTGTGTCCTGCTCCCGAGCACAGCCCGAGCCCGCGGAGAGGAAGATGGGGACACCTGGCGCCGTGTCTGTCTCTGGCTCGCTCGTGGGCAGGTCCACTTCCGGCTCCGCGACAGGAGCAGGGCCCCTGTGTTTCAGCCTCAGGGTGTCCCGACCAAAGAAGCCCATTCCGCCCACCAAGCAGCAATGACAGGCCCTTTCCTTGTCTGCTCGGTGTCTTGCGGAAGGCTGGCCGAGCGCTCCCAGAATGCACGTGGGCATCTGAGGAGCCCCCACCCTCCCTCTTGTCCCAGCAGCCTCCACTGTACAGGCTTGCGTGTCTCCTGCCCCCAGCGGCGATGCCACATTGCTTCCCGGCCCGAAACGGCCACAGACACACCCCCTTCTCTTCGCAGAGGGCCCTGGCCACCCCACGGTGGGCAGCGACCAGCAACCTATGTCACCCCAGCATGCACATTCATTCCCATCATGCTTCCCGGAGAGGGAGGGGCTGGGATTTGCATTCTTCTTCCCTTTCTAGTTTCTTCTATGGAGCAGTCCTTGTGGAGGCTTTCTAGTGACTAAAAAACTGAAGAACATGCCCTAGCCGGGTGGCTCAGTTGGTTGGAGCCTCATCCCGTACACTAGAAGGTCGCAGGTTCAATTCCCAGTCAGGGCAAATACCTGGATCGAGGGTTCAGTCCCTGGTCAGGACACATATGAAAGCCAACCGATCTATGTCTCTCTCTCTCTCTTCCCTCTCCCCCCTCTGTCTTTCTCTTTCCCTTCCTCTCTCTCTGAAATCAATCAGCATATCCTTGGGTGAGGATTTGAAAAAAGAACTGGCCGGCATCAATGAGGAATGATGGCAGTTTGCTGTGCCAGGCTCTCCAGGAGGGTTATGAGCCCAGCCCTCTGGCCGGGCAGAGGAGGGAGGCGTGAGTTCAGCGCGGAGTGTTCGTCCTACTGGACGTCACAATTCAGAACTCCTAGTGGTCACTGCTGGCGAGTACTGGTCACCTCAGTGCTGCAGGGGGAAGTCACGTCAGGTATGATGTTTATTTAGAACACTGTGGTTAAGAAGTCACCCTCTAAAGCCAAACTGGCTGGGTTTCAAGCTCATCTTTCTCACGGATTAACTCGGGATAGCTACTTTTAAATTCCCACTAAATCTGTTTCCTCACCTGTGAAATGGGGATAAGAACCTTGTAGGTCATTGCAAAGTAAAAGAGCTAAAACATGGAAAGAGTTTAAAACCTGCTTGTCCCTTCGTAAGTACTCAAGAGATGTTAGCTCTTACTCTGGGCTTGTGGGCCCCTTCAGAGCCTGGGGAGATGGGGCCCGCAGAGCATGTGTGCTCTCGGGTTCCCCGGCTCTGGGGTCCTCACGGGCCCCATCCTGGTGGCTCAAGGGAAGTCACGCTGGCCACATGCTCTGGCCTGACACCAGCCCTGCCCTCTGCGTTCTCTTTCCTAGCGTCCTTCGAACCTCCGACCCCCAGGCTGGTAGAATCGGGAGCACGTCTCCAGCTGCACGTCCCCCACAGCATCCAGACAAAGGCAGTCTCTATCAAATGGAAGGTGAAGCTGCGTTCGCCGCCACAAGATTTTCTGTTGCTCTTTTGGAAGAGTGGTCCTGATTTGCTTCATAAAAAGGAGAAATGTCGTTCTAATTTTAAAAATACTCGCTGTTTTATAATGGAGGACCAAACTCTTGTCATCGAGGAAGCTCAGCCCCAGGACAGTGGCATCTACCTCCTGGAGGTCTCTGACGAGGAGGGAAATTCTAAGACATATCACTTCAACGTGTCTGTGTTGGGTGAGTGTGCGGACGGCTGTCCCTGCCCCTCTGGCTCCGGCAGGGCTGGGTCTGCAGCGCCTTCCTGACCAGATCTCTGCTTCCAGACCCTGTGCGGACCCCCCTGCTGCAGGGACAGCAGGAAGCCCTGGACGGAGGGGTGTGCCGAGTGACTCTGTCCTGCTCCATCTCTGGAGGTGGTGATGGGAGCTATGGTGATGTGAGCTACACCTGGTACCGAGGGAGTGAGCGGGTCCTGGGCCGGGGGAACCTGTTCACGCTGGAGGAGCGGGTCGACGGCGGCCCGCATACGTACACTTGCCAAGTCAGCAACTCTGTCAGCTGGGCCAACCAGACGCTCAGGCTCAGCCACGACTGTCTCCCGGGTGAGTGCGGTGCTTGGGGCGGGACAGGGCCGAGGTGGTGGGCCCCGGACCGGGCTCATGTGCGGAGAGACGGCAGTGACAGCCCTGGGCTGGCCCCCTGGGGTGCTGGCCTGGAGGCACACAGGCCCCACAGCCAGGCCCGCCTTCCTCTGGGAAGCGTTTGTGTCCCCGTCGAGACTCTCCTTCGGGAACAGGGGCGTCTCTCCTTCACGCAGCCAATGCTCAGCTGCCTGAGGAGCGGCAGCCCGGCCCCAGCCGCCGGCCCGTTTCTTCTTCAGACGGACAGAGCCCTGCTCCCTCCTCGAGAGTGACACCTTCCCCGAACCATGGTGTCCCCTGAGAGGGGCCTTGCCAGGCGCCCACAGCAGTGCCCTGGGTCCTGGCAGCGCCAGGGCATCACCGCAGCACCTGGCGGAGTCCTTGGTTTATTGCTCGTGCCTGTCCTGAGAGCCACCTGGAGCTCACTTTGCACCAGTTTTTATTAGATAAGTAAGACTCAGTGTGGCGGCAGCACAGGCAGAAGCGGCCTGCTGCCCCTGTCTTCAAGGACCTGATAGCCCGGCAGGGACAAGAGGAAGCAAACAAGCAGAAGCCGTGTGGAGACAAGGGCACGTCCGCGGGTCTCGTCAGCCGTGGCTTCGTCTCTCGCGGGCTCTGTGTTCCCAGGCAGATTCATGGGCCTCTCTGAGCCTCTGCTCCTCTCTGGGGTAAAGTGGGAGTGATAACAGCACTGCTAGTTGGACGAGACCCTGTTTGTAAAGGGCTGGGCCCGCGGCACTGAAACACGCCCCCCCCCCCTCCCCCGTTGACCGAAGAGGCACAAGAGCAGCGGAAGGTGAGCGGGGGACGAGCTCCAGAAGGCTGTCGAGTTAAAAACAAAAGCATGGACCGCGGTCACAGTCGCTGTGTTTTGCATTTGTTAGATCACATGACGAACCCCCGTATGTCGATGACATGACCTCCTCTTCCTCAGTGAGAGAGCAGGGGCTCGGAGAGGGAAGCTGGCTGCTGAGGGCTCTGAGCCGAGCTCCTGGTGTCGCTCCGGGGAGGTCGTCCCCGGGACGGCGCAGTCGCAGGCTGGGGCGGGGCAGCCGCGGCAGCAGCCAGGCCAGGAGGCGGGGAGGCCTGCGTCCTCACGCCCCTGCCCCCGTATCCCTCAGAAACCGGCCTCCTGCCCTTTTGGGTGATCATCGTGACTCTCGCCGCCGTGCTGCTGCTGGGCTTGGGCGCCGTCACCTGGGTCTGTGTGCGGAGGAGGAGGAGGAAGCGGGCAGGTAGGTGGAAGGCCCCTGAGAGCTGCTGCCCCAGTGGCGGCGGCGGGGCTGGGATGTGCGGCCGCGGTCGGAGGGACAGCGGTGGTTGCCAGGCCTCCGCTCCCAGGCCTCGCCCTCTGCGTCCCCGAGGCGCACAGTCGGCTCCCCGCCCTGCAGCTGCCCCGCAGTGGCCGGTGCAGGGGAGACGGTCAGCTGGCCGCTGCCCCTGTGCCCGCTGGGTCTCCTGGGGGGAGCAGCGACCCTCTAGACCCCTTCGGAGGGTCTCGGCCACCTGGGACGAGGCGGGCAGGACGCCTTCCGGGCCGGTCCGCAGCTCCGCTTCCTCTTCACACAGACCCGGGCCCCGCGGAGTCTGTGACGGTTTACGAAGACGTCAACCACCTGCGCACCAGGAGCGGCCACGTACGTCAGCCTGCGGGCGGCCCTCTCTCAGCCGGTCTGGAAGTCGCTCTCGGGAGGATGGCCATTCCGGGCAGGGGACACAGGGAACCCAGCTGTCCTCTCAAAGTGGCCCTCAGCCCCCCATGTCCCGCCCCCTCAGCACCCGAGCTCTGGCCGTGGACAGAAAGGGGGGAGCGGGCGAGGGGCCCGAGGGAGGGCGTCTGGGTGCAGAGCTGCGCCCACCGAGACTCCCTGTGGTGCCGGCGCCCTCGTTGCCTGAGGCTCAGCGCAAGTGCGAGCCGCTCGTGTGTCGTGTCTGACCAGATTCTCGTGTCCCCGCAAGTCCCGTTGACTTCTGCGGCCCCTTCGCCGCTGCACAGCCGGGCAGGGCGGCAGCCTGATGAGCTGAGGCCCGAGCGTGTTGTCACGGGCTCTGGCCTGCCCTCGGACGGCCCTGGGGCCCAGAGGCCCGAGTCCAGCCCAGGTGGTGGAGGGAGTGAGGCCACCGCGTGATGAGCCGGGCCAGCGTCTCCTCTGTCACCCAGAGGCGAAGAAGGGGAGGTGCCGCAGAGGGGCTGCAGGCAGGACGTGGGGACAGGCAGAGCCTCACCGAGCCGCTTGGTGGGAAGGGAGGGGCAGGAAGGACCCTCCTCCTCCCGCCATTCCTGGGGCTTGGCCCGGGTGGCGAGGCAGGAAGTGCATGAGCGAGGCCTCCTCCCCTGGCTCCGCAGGGCCTAGGGACAGGGCAGCCCCTGCAGCCCGTGTCTGCACCCAGCAGTGGCATATTGGGGTGTGACCCTGCAAGCAAATGGACTCTCCCATCAGAACCGACCCTGGTACCAGGCACAGCGACTGCAGACACCTCCAGCCACTGATGCCCATATGCTCACCAAAAGTAGCTCCCCGCAATGAAGAGCACTTTAAAGATTTTATTTATGTATCTTTAGAGAGAGGGGAAGAGGGGGAGGAACATCAATGTGTGAGCGCCCCCTACTGGGGTCCTGGCCCACAACCCAGGCATGTGCCCTGACTGGGAATTGAACCAGCAACCCTTTGGTTCATAGGCCTGCGCTCGAGCCACTGAGCCACACCAGCTGGGGCCGATGAGGAGCACTTTAGATTAGGGAAATGAAGAAGAACATAGGGGAACATAAATTTATAGAGTAAAACAAGCCTACTGGGGATTCAGGCCCGTTACTCTGCTTCTGAGCCAGCAACTCATGGCCCCGTCCGTCCAGGCCTCTCCCTGCTGTCTCCCAGGTCCCGTCCAAAGGCTTCAGCCTCAGGCTTGTGTGATCTTACCTGGGGCCTGGCCGTGGCCTTTCGGAGACACTTCACGCAGGTCTGGGCAGAAGAGAAAAGCAGTGGAGTGCTGTGTCTTCCCGGATGCCGTGACTCCAGCCTCCAGGGGCAGCTGGTGTTTCTCTGCTCCTTCTGACCACCCCACACCTGTGAGATGAGCCCCACCAGAGCCCACCCTGGCGACGCGCACTCCGGGGAGGGAGCACGAAACCCTTCCAGCCCAGTCCGGGCAGGACTGGGAGAGGGAGATGCGGCCTCTGGCCTTGGGTCCAGGGCTCCACCCAGCACCGCAGCTGCACAGGAGGCTGGCTGGAGGCCAAGGGCAAGCTGACCGCCAGGGCTGGATCTAGATAGGGGGCTTGAAAATGTCTCAAGCCTCTGACGCTGGGCCCACAGCCCTCCTTGGAGCTCAGGGCCAGGGTGCCTGCAGACTTAGCCCAGGGCCCTTTCTGAGTCGGCAAAGTGAGGCTGGTGGCAGGACCTCCACCCCCCCCCCGCCCCGCCACCCCCCCCCCCCCCGCAGTGTCAACTCAGCGCTGCACCTTCCCACCTGGGAGGGGCCTTCGGCCTGCTTCTGCATCAAGAGTTGCTCTTTCTCCCGCCCCTCCCCATGTGCGTTGACCCACCACCGCTCCCTCCCAGGCTCCCCGGAGCTCCTTGTTGTGCGGTCTCTCCCCACCGGACCCACACCCTCCAGCCCGAGCCCCCGGCCAACGGTACCAGGTGTCCTTTCCTATTTCTCCCGCAGGAGCAGCGGCAGGAGCAGCGGGACGCCCCCTCGGCCGAGACCACCATCTACTCCATGATCCTGGCCCAGGTACCCCCGGCTCCCCCCTTCCGGGCTCCACCTGTCTATGGGCTTTCTCGTGTCCTCCCCTCCCCCTCCAAAAAGGGAGCCCTCACACCCTTGAATGGCGGGTGGCGTAGCAAGACCCTGGTGCCCTCGGAGCGCAGAAGGGGGCTGGTTGACTGTCGGAGCGGTCTGGGGTCTCCGCAGCCGAGTGGGGCCGGGAGGGCGGATGCAGGACGGCCCCCTTGCTGGGGCCTGGGGCTGTGGCCCTGGGGCAGCTGGTGGCGGCGGAGGAGGAAGCTGTCCGGGACTCGGCCTCTCTTTTCCCTCCCTGCTGCTTCCTGCCCGCGCTTGTTCTGCCTGTTTCCAGGAGAGAGCAGGCCTGTGTGGTTCTCTCTAACCTTCTCTGACATCGAGACTTAACGATAACGTGTACGAAGTATGATGTCCGTTTTTGCAACAAATCTTCTCTAACAGCCTCGCAAAGCAGTAGGTCTCAGGCAAACCTCATTCCGCAGATGAGGACACACTCCAAGGGCAACTGGCGCTCCCGAGGTCGCGTGGCTGGGCGGTGGGGAAGCTGAGCGGAATGGTTTCTGACAGTCCCCAACGGTCTGGCTTCCAGGAAGTGGCCCCGTAACTGGGGGTCCACCCTCCAGCGCGGCAGCCGCAGGACGGCGGGGGAGCCCGGGCTGTGCATCCCTTAGGGAGACACTGTCTGCTGGTGGCCAGGGACAAGGAAGCTCTGGACAAAATTATTATCATTATTTTTAAAGAACTTTGGCTGGAAGCAGCAGCCTCTTCAGCTTGGGGGCCCAGCGGCAGGACAGAGAAAACCCTTGGGGGAACAGGGACAGGCTTCAGAGAGAGCAGGAAGAGGGGGGAGCGGAGCCCAGGAAGGGCAGGGAGGAGAGGAAGGGCGGTGGGTGGGGGGGAGGCCCAGGGGCAGGAGCTCTCCACGGGGGGGGGGGGGGGGCTTCCCAAGCACGGCGTTGCCTCCGCCCGCCCCAGCTCCCTGGTGGTGGGCCCAGTCAGAGCCTTAGAAGGAGATGTGTCGACTAAGAAATGTCCAAACTTGTAAGAATGTCTATGAGTTTATCTGAGCCAAATTGACGGCAATAGCCAGGAGGCAAAATCTCAGCAGACGGAGAAATGCTGCAGAGGATGGCGGTTTTGCGCCCTATTCTGTGCGCTGGCATCGGAGCAGAAGACGAGCGGGGTTAGGTCAGACCCACTGGTGAGGGATGCGGGAGGCAGGCGAGAGCAGAGCGGGGCTGGGTCGAAAGGGGAGCGGCAGACGGCCTCCCTCTGCGCAGGGCCGCACAGCCGCCAGTGAGCAGTGAGCACGGAACACGGCCTCCTGCTGGGTGGGGGGGGGGGAGCCTGTGCCCCGAGGGGCCTGCAGAGAGGAAATTTCCTTGACATTCCTGTGTCATCGGAGAGGTGCAGAGATAACACACGGGCTCAGTTAAGGGGAAGACTGACCTTCGTCACGGAACGTGCCGGGCTGGGACGTGACCGCTGCCACGACTCACTTCCAGCCCGAAAGTGTTCTTCTGAGGCCGCCCCGTGTGGTGACTTGTGTCCCTGAGCTTGTCAGGCTGCTGCCCAGCCGCCCCCTGAGCGTGGTGGGTCAGTGGGTGACCCGCTGTCTTCACCAGATGCCAGAGCGAGGGACTCCCCCGGTCGGCCAGCTGTAGTCCCGTTTCACCCCTACACGGGGTTTCTGAGATGTTGCAGGAGAGTGAGATCCCTCCTCTGGAGCTTCTTAGAAGCTGGGTGGCCACCTGCTTGGAGATTGCACGTGCCAGGCCCAGAGGGGAGGGTTTGCGTACAGGGGAGCGTCACGGTGCCGAGGAAAGGGCGCTGGGGAGTTTGGGTTTAAGTCCGGTGTCTGCTGTGAGCGGCATGGCGTGGGCATTCACCGTTTTGGAGCCTCATCTGTGGAGTGAGGCCACTCGGATTGTACGGGGTGTTCGGCGGGGCGGGGTGGTGCACAGGTGCGGAGCCTGTGCTCAGCCCTCAGCAGCTGTCTGACAGCAGAGAGGGACCAGCACTCAGGTCGTCTGGCCTTCCGACTCGTCCGGCTTCTTTTCACAACAGTTAGACGTGCTGTCTGGGCCCCGGCCGGGCAGCTGCGGTGGCTGGAGCACCGTCCTGAGGCACCAAGGTCGTGGGTTTGATTTCCGGTCAGGGCATGTGCAAGAGTCAACCACTGATATTTTTCTCTCATCTCTCTCTCTCCCCCCACTTCCTCCTTCTCTCTCTCTCTGAAATCAATAAAACATATCCTCAGGTGAGGATTAGAAAAAAGAATCAACCAATGAGTGCAAAAATAAGTGGAACAACAAAGCGAGGTTTCTCTCTGAAATCAGTAAAAAAATCGGAAAGCTTATGTTTGGGCAGGGTTGAGGGGGAGGGGCAGAGTAACTCCCTTCCTGGGGGAGGGCTACCTGTGTGCTTCTGAAATGATCATATTCCTCTTCTCATTAGCCGTCCGATTTCACGTCACAAAGAACTGAAAATACGCTGTATTCAGCGGTGCAGTACTCCGGGAAGGTGAGTCTCCCCTCCTGGGGTGCGTGGGAGCGGGTGTCCGTGTGGGCTGTCTGTTTTGGTGTGTGATGCAGGCGTGTGTCTGCAGAGTGTGCCAGCACTTCTGCCTGAGCTACCTTCCCTTGAGTGTCTCCCAGTGCTGGTGTGCAGCGGCTGTGTGCAGGTGTCCCCAGGCCGACCAGGAAATGCCTTTGAGTTCAGCGTGGAGGGAAACGGCAGCTCTGAGACCGGAGCAGAGTGGATTAGTGGGACGCTGAGGACAGTCACACAGAGAGAAGGTGCTTCGTGCAGGGGACCCCTGGGGCAGGAGCCCCTCCAGGCCTGGAGAGGTTCCAGTGCGTGACCTCTGGCATGGAGCTGGGGGGCTGCACGGGGTCCAGAGAGACGTGGCATCCACTTTCCAGGAACCAGAGAGAGGTGCTGGCCAGCCACGTCACATGGAGTCCTCCAGACCGGGTCCGCCTCCCACCCTGATCCCAGCGGGGCTCGCAGGGGACCGCGTGCCTGGAACCACAGAGCCGGGCACGCCGCTGCCATTGTCACCTGCCCCTCGCACCGGCGATGCGCCTGCGGCCGGAGCCACGGTGCAGACGCGTGAGCTTGGCACGGTGCCCCGAGGCTGGGCCTGTCACTGTGAAGCACTGAGTTCACGCAGGTTGGGGTCGCGTGTCTGTACCCAGTGCGGGGGAGTTCAGGGCGCGATTTCAGACTTTGCGTTCACTGGGATGAGAGATATTGACATCGTAGTTGCAGCAAATGGTCACAGAGATGGTCTCGGGTTTTGCTTTTATGTTGTGAGGACCCTTCAGACGCCTGAAAGTGCTTCTGAATGGCACCGTGTGTGTGTGTGTGTGTGTGTGTGTGTGCACATGAATGGAGGCGAGTGTGGCCCGAGAGTGTGAGAGTGGCAGGCGGGACTCTGATGGCTCAGAAATGTGAAATCGTAGGCCAGTGTGTGCGCCCCGTCTCTGGAAACCGTGCCCGCCACTGTTCACTCCTGGGGTGGGCGGTGCTATCCGCTTCTGGTGGGGACACTTCGGGGACTTTCTGGGCACTGAGTCTCTTCCGGAACCTGTCACACCAGTGGGGAATGGGACACTCGTTAAGCTGAACGAAGCCCTCTGACCCTGTGCATTTCAGCCTGGCTCCAAGAAGCGGAAGCAGAGCCCCGCCCTGGCTGCCACGGTCTACGACGAGGTGAGTCTCCGGAGCTCCTGCGGGCGCGCTGTGCCCACGGCTCAGCCGGGGGGCGGGGGGGGGCGTGCACCTGCGTAAAGTCATCCACAGAGTCTCGGCGTCTCGAGGAGCTCAGGGACATCTGGTCCAGTGTTTTGTGCCAGAGAGGAGGAAGCCGAGGTCCAAGGCAGCGGCAGTCTGACAGGAGGTCACACCACGTGTCGGGGTTTGGCTCTCACTGGGTGGGGCGCCTGACTCTCAGATTAGGGCCGTCCCCAGGCTCATTCTGCAGCTGTGAGTCACACCCCAGATACATCGACTTCCCAGTGTGTTTGTGGGGGCGGGGGGCCAGGAAGGCAGAATTGAGTCTAAGTGGCTTTCTAAAGCCAGCGAGTAATGGAGAGTCGCTCCGGGAGACCCGTGCTCTCGGCCACTGACGGGAAGAATACTGCACGGAAGTGTCCCTGAGCCTGGTGGCCCAACTGATTTCCATCAGACCATTGAGGGAGTGGGAAGTAGGGTCTCCATGGCCACAGAAGGTTTCCTGTGTATGTGGTGGCCTGACCATATACACAGGGAACCTTGGCTTTATGTGAATTACCTCACTTAATCCCCACGGAACATGGGGAGTGGGTACAATCATACTTTCCATTTGGACCCACAGAAAAGAAGGCAGGAGAGCACCCCACTTACTCCCCATTTGCCTCCGGCTGTGCCCAGGTGCCCACCTGTGGCCCGATGACAGTGTCGCCACGGGTGCCAAGGGAGGGGCAGGCGGGTGCCTGCTGGGCTTCTTGGCTTCCAACTGTAGCCCCACCTGAAAACCACTGGACCGTCCGGGGTTGCGGAGAGCACCCAGGGGTCCCAGGCAGCCCAGGGCGGGTCGCGAGGAAGCTGGGCGCGGCGACCGAAACGGAGCCAGGAGCCGGAAGCACTGGAGTCAGGCCCCTGCTGCACTTCAGACAGTTGCTTGTGCTTCCTTTTCTTGTTCTGTGACATGGAGATAACAACCCATACCCACAGGGCTGCTACATAGGCTCCTGGTGGGAGGGCCTGAGCTTCTTTTCTTCTGCAGGTTGGAAGGTTACACGCTAAAGCTCGGAGCCCCGTGCTGAGCCGCAAGGAGCTGGAGAACTTCCGTGTGTACTGCTAGTGGCTGCGGGGGCTGTCTGCCAGCCTCTGCTCTGGGCATCAGCGCGATGGATGGTACCCCCCGAGTCTCAGAAGAATAGTTCCTAGTCTGGGGATCTGTCCATGGACTGTACTTGGTTTCGAAAATGATTTCTAACAGCCATTAGAAAGCACGGTTGTTAAGTGATGTCTTTCACTTTACAGATCATGCGAGAATGGGTGGACAGGTGGGGCAGCTCACGCAGGACCACAAGCCAGTCCAGGTGCTGGAACCCTGTCACGTCCTGTGCAAAGGCAGGGCGTTTTCTTAGCATCAAGGTTCCCTCCTCCTGTTTTCCTGTCACTTGTGTCCCCTCCTGTCCCATCTGGGACGCTCACATCTGCAGACCCTGCCCTTGCCCGGGCACACCTTCCTGAGAGCAGGAACAGCCAATGGCAGCTCAGAGGAAGGGCAGCGGCTCCTCCGTGAGGGTGGACCCACTGGCTGTGGGCGGGTTCCCCGAGGGGGCCAGGCCTGGGCTTCACTCAAGTCCGGAGACAAAACTGCCTCCACTCACATTGCACAGCTTTGCCTCTGGCCAGCTGTTCACAGAGGAGTGGGAAGGGCTCCCGCCCTCTGTGAACAGCAGGCGTAGGGGTGCAGCGCCAGCCCATCTCTGAGCGGGAAGCCACCGGGAGCACAGGCGTCCCAGTAACCAGCTGTGAGGCCTGCGGCCGCCGCTGGGGATGAAACAGAGTGATTTTTTCTTACTGTGCACTTTTTTTTACTGCTGAATTTTTATAAAGCCATATGTGTGTGTTACTCTTGATGTATTTTTAAGTGCTTAAAACATCTCTTCCATATAACCCTCCCATTTATTTACCCGAAAGAACTTTCCGTGTTGTCAGGCCCTCTCCCCAAAGTGTGGCTCAGCCCAGAAGCCCGGCGGCGAGTGGCACTGCCACCTGCGCAGACTTGTGTTCATGGCACCGTCGCGGACACTCGTGCCACACATGCCTCTGCGTCGCAGGCACTGCCTGGGGCTCCGCTCTTCCCACTCGGCCACGCGTCCTTGAGCTCATTCCGCAGCAGCTCACGGCGCCCGTCCGTCCTTTCCTTTCTCCACAAACGCAGCCGGGTTTGCCTTTGCACATAGTGTAATGCATTCGACCGGGTCCCCACCAAATGAACGCTGAGGTCATTCCCAGCCCTTTATCATTAAAAATGCTGCCGTGGACAGGATTTTACATCGATCTTGTGTCCGTGAGTGAGAACCTCGGTTGCACTGATTCCAGCAGATGCTCATAAGGCAGTGTGAAGGTCCAGTTCTCCTTCTGCAGCCTCCGGCCAGCCCTGGCCGCGCTGGGGGGTGCTGCGTCTGCGGAGGGGTGAGGGGAGATGTCACGAACCCGAGAGCACAGCGCTTGTTGTGCCACCCAGGCCAGAGGTTTCGGCTCTCGAGAGCTCTTGCCACAGGCTAAGGTTTTCCTGTGAGAGCATCATCTCTGTGATTTTTTGGATTGGTGTTTGCTTTTTGATACTTCAACATTATCTTAGCTCTCTAAGAGTGTCTAAACCTATAGAGAATTTTAAGAAAAATTTATGAAGAGACAAACAATACACCTGGAAGCAAGATTTCAACAGGCTGAGATAACATATTTCTAAGAATAACAGTTTTCAGCTTATTTCATGCCTTGCAGATGAAAGGAATGTAAGAAATATTACATGAAGGAGGGAGAAAGCAAGAGGTGGGTTGGATTACAGGACACTTAAGATTATGTGCTATGTGCTGTCCTGAGAGTGTCACCTGCTTCAGGAGGGGTCTTGGCTCTGGACTTTGAACTCCACTAGAATCAGTCTTCAGTTTAAACACCTGTAAGATGGAGTTAACAGGCCTTCCCCTGTCATGTATGAAATGGGAGCAATAGGTAAAATGAGGCATGCGAGGGGCCTAAATTAGGAATTATGTAGAAACGAGCTTATACCGGGGATCTGGAATTTCATTTTATTTTTTTCTTTATTTTATTTTTTAGAGAGGGAGGAAGGGAAGGAGAAAGAGAAGGAGAAGAACATCAGTTGATTGCCGCGGGTGTCGTGGCCCACAACCCAGGCAGGTGCCCTGACCAGGAACTGAACGGTGAGCCTGGATTGCAGGCCGGCATTCAGTCCACTGAGCCACGCCAGCCAGGGCTGGAAGCTCGTGTAAATGAGGTAGAGCGCAGCCCTTTGGCAGGAAAGTGCTCTTTGCTGCCATCTCGTGGGGATTTTTGGGATAACACAGTGGACATGAGTAATAAAAAGGTTTTTTTTCTATCGTGGGCATCTTGGGAAAAACGGCAGAAAACGTCTATCTAGTGTGCAACTCGTGAATAACACCCGAATGGAACTCAACAGGAAAAGCTGTTCTCTGCTGCCATCTAGTGTCCATCTTGGGAATAACACTTGAGTGCAAGCAGTGTTCCTGCACCAGTAAACTCGATGTATTCCTGCCTGTGAATTTACGTTTATCGCGTGCCACGAGAAGTAATATTTTTGCTACATTTAGAATAAAAGAAGTTCAAATAAGAGGTTTTCAAATTACTTCTAGTCTTTCCTACTGGGTGGATATTGAACTATGTCCCCCAAATAGCTGTTATCTTTTCATTGCAAGCTTTTGAAATATTCAGACAAGCACCATGTCAAAGCTTTTCTAACGTTGCCAACTGCTGGCACTGGTGGTCCTCCATCCACACAGATGATGCAGATTCTTATTCGGGTTAATCTTAGGCAGTTTATCTGTTTCGTTGCTATTCTTTCTGTGTCTACATATAAAGGATGTTTATTTCTGCATGTTATTCCCCCTCACTGTAATAAATTCCATTATTTGTAGTAATTAAGTTGCTTTTCATGATTTATCAAGGTAAAAAAGCTATCGTACAATAACATTGCATGACTTTAGCTATGTAGAAACATGTAAAATGGATAAAAGGTAGAAGAAAACATGAAGAAGTGTGAGGAGTTAGAAAATTTTGTTGGTTATAAGTCCATTAGTGATTAAACAGAAGTAGTAACAGGATACCTATTTTTACATGAGTTCAGGGCTTGGACCCCAGGTCTTACAGAAATCAGGAGCATTTTGGAAGTGAAATTGTGCCCCCTCCAGGTTATCTGAGGAACTCACGATAAGGCAAATGTCCACATTTTCAGTAAGATTTTAGATAAACTTTGGAATCTAAAAAAGTAAGGGTATTTACTTCCAGTGACGTCACAGAACAGTTGCTCAGGAGTGCCGCGTGAGCGGTGACCAGAAAGCCGTCCTCCTCGGGCGCCCGCAGCGCCTCGCCGCCGCGACTCCGTCTCCCCCGGGTGCGCGGTCCCTTCCGCCCGCTGCGCCCGGGCAGGTGCCCGCTCGACCCGGACGCTTCCACCGCGGCTCGGCCGGATGCCGGGCCCTTCGCCGCCAGTGAGGTCTCGGCGTCCACGCTGCGTCTTCAGAGAGAGGTTTTTCTCTGATCGCTCAATTTTCTGTCTGAGTGTTCTGTGTTTTCTTCACAGCACTTACCTCCATGTAAAGTAATGTATTCATTTCCTATCCCGGGGAACAGCGAACCCCGCGAAGGCACGTCTGCCCCTCTCACCAGAGCGCGTCTTGTGCGAGCGAACCCCCTTCACTCGTCCTCGCTGAGTGAGCGCGCTCCTTTCCGCGTTCCCCGTGCGCGGCGGGGGTCGCACGGGCCACCCAGACCCGAGCCTTTCTCAGACCCGGCAAGGCCCCTCCTCGCCCCGCGGGTGCCCTCTCCGCCCTCCCAGCCGCCGCGGGACCCGGACGCGCAGGCAGAGGAGTCTCCGCGGGGGCGGCGGCGGGGCTGCGCTGGGGCGGGGGGGGGGGGCGAAGGTCTCCGAACCGAGAGCGGAGGGAGGTGTCGCGATGCCCGTCCGGGAACTTGGTAACTTCGCAGGGAGGAGCGACCAGGATGCTGCCCAGTGCGGAACGGAGGGGCCGGGAGGGGTGATCGCCGGGCTGCGACCCTGGCGGGTCGGGGTTTCGGGGTTCGGGGGCCGAAGGCTCGGTGGGAAGGGGAGAGTGGAGCGTGTCTGGAAGGAGGACTGGACCCTGGCGCGCGGTGCTGGGAAGAGGCGGGTACCGGAGAGGGTGGACGGGACACGCCTGGGGGAGGCTTGAACGGTCACGCTGGGGGCGGGAGGGGGGAGGGCCCGCGCGGAATTCCGGTGAAACAGAGAGAACGGAGGTTTGGGGACGGGGACCTGCGGGTGGGCGGAGGTGCCGGAGATCGTGAGAGACCCCTGGAGGGTTTGTGGGGAGAGCCATGGGGTGGGAGATGGGACACGGGGCGGCGCGCTCACACAGCTTTGGTGGTCCCTGTCCCCCTTGGGAAGGGGGAGAGCGGACTGGAGCGGCCTCACCGCAAGCGACTCTGGGATCCAGGCCTCCAGCCTCTCACCGGCGAGCGGGGCTCAGGAGTCGGGGTTTCGCGGAGGCGGAGCGGGAGCGGGAGCGGGCTGAGGCTTCACATGCGCGCGCTCTCCAAGGTCGCCGAGCTCACCTCTCTTTCCTGGTTATGAAAAGAAGAAATAACGGGAAAACCAGCGGCCGGGGAACGTGGTGAAGGAGCGAAGGACTTACCCCGTTTCCCACCGTGCGAGGACAAGGAGCGGGTCGCGCTGCGCGGGATCGCACGTGCCGATGCGGAGGCTCGGGACTCCGGAGCTAGGGACCCGCGCGCACCGGCGGCCTCCGGGCAGCAGGCTCATTACACGTGCGCTTTTCTCTCCAGACCTTTCTTTGGCGCCAGTAGGGAGGGTCAGCGTTCGTACATCGGAAACGTCCCTGGTGAGAGAAACGTCCCTGTTTGAGCGGACCACACCCTAGGGGACACCTGGGACTCACTGTGTGCTCGGCCAGGGGAAGGGCCGAGACAGAGTTCGGGGGCAGTTCTGGTCCGATCAAGTGACATGATTGACGGAAAGGGTCTTCTTTGCTGTAGCCACAGTGACCATTTCTCCCTGAAGACCAAAGTTAACGTTGATATTGTAACCAAACTGGGCGGGTCCCGCATGGTTTTGAGAAGTCAGGTAGAAGGTGTCAGAGGCTTTGTTATCGCGTAACTGGGACCGCAGCGCGGGCTGCCTTCGTCCTTATTTCCCAGCGGTGAGCGACGTGGAGACAAGACGCCGCTTTTCCCGGGGGCTGCAGTTTCCAATCCTAGTGTAACTACTTCAGGAGAAGTCGAGGAAAATATGGCTCCATTTCTGCTGGAGTTTCCCCAAGTGTAATGGACTTAAGCAGGACGGCTGGAAGGGGGCCGGGGGCAGCCCCTGAACTGTGGGGTGCGGGCTGCAGGGTCCCTCTGGGGCCCCAGCCGCCTCTCTGGCCCACGCGGCCCTTGTGCATCTGTAGGGGTGGTGGCCTCTCCCGGCGCCCAGGACAGCTCTGTCCTACCTGGAAGCCACCAGAGATGGCACCTGTGGCTTCGCATGGCACCCTTTTTGCTGAGATGGTTTAAGTGGCTGCAGCAGCCCCCCATGAGGGCGACGTCTCCTGGGACCTGGGACGCTGGAGGGAGCATCAGTCTGCAGAGGACCAGCAGAGGTCGGCTGGGTGAGGAAAACTGTGGGTTGTTTTTTTTTTTAGGTTTTTGTGTATATGGTGTAAGGGAGTGTTTGGGTGAGGGTTAGGCTGATGGAACACAGGTTTTTTGTGTGTGTTTTGCTGCAAATTATAGAGGAACTAAAAATATTTGACACTATTGGCAAACTTTTGTGGAACATTAAAAATTTTGTGATATGAATAAAATTTCTGTAGAAGTGATTGAATTTGTTTATAAATATCAATCTACAGAACACTGGCATAACAGAGAACTCACAATTTCTTACTCTTAGCTTCAATGAGAAATTAAGATTTAAAAAAAAGTTAAGAATAATTAAAGGTACAGAAAGAAGCACCAGAGAAAAGAACGGTGTTTACAAGGAAAACAAGATATGTTGTGACTGAATACAATGGTATGAGGCCTGGGCGTGTTTCTTTGAAGAGAAAGGGAATTAGTTTTGTCCTAAGAGAGGCTGTTGCTCTAGAGCGAGACAGAGGAAAAGCAGGACAACGGCGGAGTGTGAAAAGGAAAGTGGCAGAAGATCTGTGGGGGGAAACGCAGAGAGGGGAAGATTTTTATGTGGCAAAGCTGACCGTGATGGGAACACATTTCATTAAGTAAATGGGTGTAAATGTGAAAAGTCAGCTGACGTAGAAGCGCAGTTTGGTTCTGTTCTACTTCGTTAGAAGGACGAAGTTGTCCTGTGTTGTGCCGCACCAGATAAGATGGTGTGAAACATTTTCTGCCCATAAAGCACAGATACAATGTTTCCTTGAAACATGTTTCCGCTTCCCATTGTTTTAATCAGGTCTCGGACGACTCAGGAAGACGGTCGTGTCGGCCCTGAGAACCAGAGGCGAGACAGCCGCATGTGGGCCCAGAGCCGCTGTGGCCGGACCCTGCTCTCCCAGGGGAGACCCCCCAGCATGCACAGGACTCAGAGCAGCAGTGACTGGACCCCCCACTCTCACGCACAGGACTCAGCGCTGACATCCCGGCACCCCCAGTCTCTCAGGCTTATCCCCTCCACACAGTCCCATGAACCGATGTGACAGGACCCCTGCTCTCTCAGGGGGAGCCCCTCCCCCAATCACAGGGCTCAGATACGAGGTGGTGTCAGGGCTCCATATTCTCTCCGGTGAGACCCCTCCTCACATTCAGAGAACCCAGAGCTGATGGGACAGGTCCCTCTGTGCTGGCAGAGTGGACCTGCTGGCTCTCAGACGCCCACTGCCTGGAAATGCTCTGCTCTGCTGCCATCTAGTGCACATCCTGGGGATGGCACCTATTTACTCAGCAGCTGCTCGGACCGTTTTGCCAGGACGCTTGGAATCTCCAGGGCACCTGACCCCATCCCCCGCTCAGCAGGTCTTACATGCCCATCGTGGTTGGACCCAAAGCTCACGTGACAGGGCCCACTACTGCCGCTGGGGGGACCTTTCCCCAAACTAATGTGACAAGACCCCTGTTCTCCCAGAGAGGGACCCCTGTCCATAACCACAGAACCCAGAGCTGAAGTGACTGGACCCCTTACTCTGGCAGCTGGGCCCCTGTGCATACTCATAGGCCCCGAGCTGATGTCACGGGACCGCTGCTCTCTCTGGGTGAAACCCCGCCCCAGGCTCCCTGAACCCCCTTAACTGGAGGAGATGTGGCACCACCCCTGTTCTCTCTGATGAGACCCCTCCCAGCACTCGGAGGATGCAAGCTGTGACCACAGGACCCCACTCTCCCAGATGGGCTCCCCAGTCACGCACAGGGCCCAGACCCGGTGTCACAGGCCTTGCTGTTCTCTTAGGAGGGACCCCTGGCCGTACCAAGAAGACCCTGTTCTGAAGCAACACGGCTCCTCACTCTCTGGTAGGACTGACACCTTCTTACAGCCACAGGAGCAAAAGCTGCAGCTGTCGTGCCCTCTACTGTCTCCAGTGTGACCCGGCTCCCACGTCACAGCACCCAGAGCCGATGTGACAGGAC